GTGACCCGCATGGGACCCACCTCCGCTGGGCCTCCCGGGAACCCACGAAATTGGCGACAGTTGCGCAGATCGCAGCCCCCAGGGCACGGCGAGGTCTCGAGGTGATCCGCGTGGGACCCACCTCCGCTGGGCCTCCCAGGAGCCCACGAAAGTGGCGACAGTTGGAGCCCGTTTCATTATTGCTTGGGGCATGACGGGCGTCATGGCCCCCGCTCCCCCCCCCCCCCCACCCTGTGACGTAACGCTCCCCCCCCTGGTGCGCTCCGGGCACTGCCGCCGTGCGCATTGGGATCCGCGTAGGTGTCCGCGTAGGAATCCGCGTAGGTGTCTGGTCCGCAGGCGTCGTCGTCGTCGTCGTCGTCGTCGTCGTCGTCGTCGTCGTCGTCGTCGTCCGTCGTCGTCGCTCGTGGTTCGTCGCTCGTCGCTCATCGTCGTCGTGCGCGCGGACGCTGCTGGAGCCTGTTTTTAAGTCCGGGCCGATGACGGCAATCATCTGGGGGGGAGGGGGTCGATGACGTCACGTTTCGCGCCGGCGGCGTTTGGGAATGCTTAGGAATGACGGAGGACGGGTAGCACGAACATGTAGGTGGCGATCTGCACCACAACGCCTGTGTACATCACAGTGCCCGCGTGCACCACAGCGCCTGTGTACACCACACCGCCGATGTACACCACAGCAGCCGCGTGCAACACAGCGTCAGTTTGTGCAACCGTGCCTGCGGGCACAGCAGCTCCTGTGTACACCACAGCGCCTCCGTACACCACATCGGCCGTGCGCAACATAGCACCAGTGTACACCACAATGCCCGCGTGTATTGCAGTGCCTGTGTACGCCACGGCGCCTGTGTGCACCACATCAGCCGTGTGCAACACAGCACCATTGTTGGTGTTTAGACTTTCAGAAGGGATCCTTGTGACAACATGGAGCGCCTGTGGATTCCAGAGAAAGCAATGAAAAACATATCCTCGTGGACGAAGGCGCGCCGCTGGAATCTACGAGTCCCCCCGAGTCCGCCCGCATCACCCAAACTCCCATTTGCGTCGAGGAGGTTCCAGCTAAACTGGCCGTCCGAGAACCAAGTGGACCGATTCAATCGACCATTCTGCGGTGCACGCTGAGATGCGCACGTGCGTTGTAACGCCAAACCGCACGACAGGGGGTAAGAAGGAGGAAAAGGCTGGGTAGTCGAAGGCCAGACTGGCAGACGGGACTGGGCCTTAAGGGCCAATTTGGCCTGGCCGAATTGGAGGATTGGGGTTATTCGCCAGACTGGATTCGCGTTGGCTCCCTCGCCAGATTGCCCCCGTTTACCAGAGTGGGCCTGCCAGATTGGCGCCAGATTGGCTTCGGCTACCCAAAAAGGAGGAGGAGGAGGAGGAGGAGGAGGAAGAGGAGGAGGAGGAGGAAGAGGAGGAGGAGGAGGAGGAGGAGGAGGAGGAGGAAGAGTGAGGAGGGAAAAACGTCGCATTCGATTCTCAGAACTTTCCTGGCGTGGCGTTTAGTTGTCCGCAGCAGATCCTGACGTACGTGCTCCTTCTACCTGTCCTATGCACGCAGGCGCTGTGGTGTACAGCGCTGCGTTGCACGCGGATGCTGCGGTGTAGACAGGCGCCGTGGCGTGCACATGCGTTGTGGTGCACGCAAGCACAGTGGTGTACACAGGCGTTGTGTTGCACATGGCTGATGCGGTGTATGTACACCAGCGCTGTAGTGCTCCCAAGTATTATGGTATACACGGGCGGTGCGTTGCACACGGCTGTTTGCAGTGTGCGCAGGCGCTGTGGTGCACACGCGCGGTGTGGTGCACGCGAGCGTTGTGGTGTACACAGGCGCAATGGGCAGATCGCCACTTACATGCTGCTCGCGTCGTCGTCGTCGCTCGGCGTTCGTCGCTAGTCGCGTCGTGCGCGCGGGCGCGGCTGTGGTGCCGGAGCCACACGGCGGGGGGGGCGTCACGTCATACCCCCCCCCGCCCTCCCCCCCCCCCATGATGCCCGTCATCACCAAACATAAAGAAACGAGCTTTTGCGCAGATCGCAGCCCCCCCAGGGCACGGCGAGGTCTCGAGGTGATCCGTGTGGGACCCACTTCCGCTGGGCCTCCCAGGAACCCACGAAAGTGGTGACAGTTGCGCAGATCGCAGCCCCCAAGGCACCGCGAGGTCTCGAGGCGATCCGCGTGGGACCCACCTCCGCTGGGCCTCCCAGGAGCCCACGCAAATGGCGGCAGTTGCGTAGATCGCAGCCCCCAGGGCGCCGCGAGGTCTCGAGGTGATTCGCGTGGGCCCCACCCCCGCTGGGCCTCCCAGGGGCCCACGAACGTGGCGACAGTTGCGCAGATCGCAGCCCCCAGGGCACGGCGAGGTCTCGAGGTGATCCGCGTGGGACCCACCTCGGCTGGGCCTCCCAGGAGCCCACGAAAGTGGCGACGGTTGCGCAGATCGCAGCCCCCAGGGCACGGCGAGGTCTCGAGGTGATCCGCGTTGGCCCCACCTCCGCTGGGCCTCCCAGGAGCCCACGCAAGTGGCGACAGTTGCGCAGATTGCAGTCCGACGGCACGAGAGAAGAGGAGAGGAGAACACAGTAAACCGGAGAGGAGGAGGGGAGGAGGGGGGAGGAGAAGAAGGACGGGGTGACCACACTGCTCTATTCAAAATGAGTACCCAACCATAGGAGGGTTGGGAAAAAGCTTGTTTGCGTGCGCGTTCTTGCGAATTCTTACGACAACCCAAATGTTCATTGAATTCTGCCAAACGGGCCTCTGGCGCCGCATGCCGACATCATTCGCACGCTCTTGCGCGCGTGTTGTGTGGGGGGCGCTGTCCGTGTCACATAGAACCATGCGGGCCACTCTCGCGCTTCGGCCGCGCGCGCATGTCGAACTCTTTCCAGAACCTTCATCACCGACGCGAGGACGCCGTCATCGTCGTCGGTATGATCAGCATCGGCGCCCGCACTGGCCGCGCATTCGTCGGTGCGAACAGCGTCACCAGCATCGCTGCTATCATCATCGTGTCTACCGTAGCCCGCCCATGTCTACCGTAGCCCGCCCAAGTCGCCAACTCGCCCGCGCCCGCCCAAGTGGCCCGCCCAAGTCGCCGACTCCCGCCCATGATACTGCGCCCGCCCTAGTCGCCGACTCGCAGTGGAGTGCCCGCTGGGGTGGCGCCCAGCGGTCAGCGCCATCGCGGCCGCGTCGGTGGCGCCAAACTAGTTGGCCGCTGCGCGCGCGTGCTAAGGTTGGCGCGGCCGTAGAGATGCACCAGCCAACTCCAAGCGTGCATCGCAGTCGCCACCGCGTGGGTTTTGCAAACCCAGTTGCGGGTGGGTTGGTGGGACGTTTGCAACAGCATGGGATGGGCCAATTCGTTTGATTTAATCAACTGCGCCGCGTAGATTGCACCACGTGGATTGCACAAGGCAGATGGCGCTACGCATAATGCGCAACGTAGGCTGCTCCACGTGGGTTCCACAACACAAATGACACCACGTAGAGCGCACAACCTATATACTCCGCTTGGTAAGAGAAATCGGATTTACCCCCTGGTTTTCATCGGTGCCTCTTGGGGTGTGCCATTCACATACGGTTCTGCCCCATCGTTCGCTGAAACATCTTCAGTCATCCTTTCCAGCTGGGTTGGGTTCCCCCTGTCATCGTCGCCCAATAAATCTATATGCGCGCTTTCGTTTATCCCAGATCTCCCATGTACAAAGCATCCCTCGCAACAGATGGGACGCAGTGCGCTCGCGCGCGGAGCCGTGCGCGCGTGCCGACATCCGTCAAACACATATATTTGGCACCGGCCGTCACGATTTCCCAATCGAGCGCCCCGAACACGCCATTATGGCAACACGCGGTTTGGCAGGGCCTCTCGCGCGCGCGCATGTCGACATCATTCGGACGCCCCTTCGCGCTTTGGGGGTACGATCCCGGTGCAACCACTTCACTCGGGCCGCTCGAGCGCGTCGGCTGCGCGCGTATGTCGAAATCATCCCAGAACCTTCATCACCGACACGTAGGCACCAGTATCGTCATCGGCGTGATCAGCATCGGCGCCGATATTGGCCTTGCCGTCGTCACCGTCATCGTCGTCACCAGCATCGCTACTATCGTCACCGTTTCTGCATTTGATGGCGTCGCCATGGTACCGTGCCCGTTCGAGCCCCCGACTCGCATTGAAGTGCCCGCGCGCCATCGCGGCTTGCGAGATGCGCTGGGGAGTGCCCAGCGGTCCGTGACACCGTTGCCGCGTCGGTCGCGCCAGACTGGCTGATGCTCTGCACGCGAGCCTGCGCGCGCTAGCGCGACCGCAGCGATTCGCCAGCACTCGCAAAGCAGTCATCGCAGTCGCCGCCGCATGGGTTTTGCAAACCAAGTTGCTGGTGGGTTGGTGGAATGATTGCGCGAGCAGTGGAATTTTCAATTTCAAGTTCGGCAGGGTGAGTTGCACCACGTAGGTTGCACCACATAGGTGGCAGAACATAGATTGCACAACGTAGATTCTAGAAACACATCGTATGGTTATTAGTGCCCGTGTCCCTATACGGTCACGTTGTGTTGTTAGCGAAAGGCGTTTCGAGCGCGGCGCATCCCGCAGTGCAAATCAAGCAGGACACACTCATCTGCCATAGGCTCGATGACCGATCGTTGTCCGCCACTGACGCGCAGCCAATGACGAGAGTAATGTTTTGATCACGCATCCTCATTCCCCCGCTGCTCGTCTCTTCCGTCCAGGGCCACCCTTAAGCCCTGGATCGAGAGAGAGAGAGAGCGAGTGAGAGAGAGAGAGAGACATAAGGAAATAAAGAGAAAGAGAGAGAGAGAGAGACAGAGAGAGAACGAGAGAAAGCGAACGAGAGAAAGAGAAAGAGGGAGAGAGAGAGAGAGAGAAAGAGAGAGGGAGAGCGACTCATAGGGAAGGGCGAGCAAGAGAGGCGTCGAGCTTGTCTTGTGCGCCCTGTGCCCCTATAACTTCCCCGCGCGCTCCTCCAGCACCCAGGCGCCCAGACTTCGGCGTGGACCCGGGCGGCGAGAAGGCTTACCCCGAGGACCAGCCTCCGCCGAGGACCCGCGCGGAGGCGCACAAGCCTCGGCCGCGACAGCGGGCAGCACGCCGCCCTCCTCCATCCTCCTTCTCCTCCTCCTCCTCCTCCTCCTCCTCCTCCTCGTTCTCGTCCTCCTCCTTCACCTCCTCCTCCTTCACCTCCTCCTCCTCTTTTCCTCCTCCTTCCCCCTTCCTCCTCCTCCTCCTCCTCCCTCCCCTGCCTCCTCCTCCGCCCCCTGGGCTGGGCTGGGTTGGGCTGGGCTGCCCTACGGGGGCCCGCGGAGTGAGGCCACGAGAGGACGAGCCTGCCCGAGATCGCCCAGACGGCCACGCGGCGCGCTCCGGCCAAGGGCCTCGCCTTCGGGGCGCCGCGTCCTCGGCGAGATGCCGCAGGAAGCCCTGCGGAAGCAGGACGACGAGGGAAACGCCGGCGGAAGAGGTTCCGAAGGGGGAACAGGAGGACGAAGGACGATGGGAGCATGAGGGACGAGGTGGCGGGAGGGCGAGAGGAAAGAAGGGGGAACAAGAGGACGAAAGGCGATGGGAACATGAGGGACGAAGGGGAAGATGAGGGACGACGCGTGCAGTTGCATCCTTTCCTTCCTGGCCGCTTTGGGAGTCGGAGTTGGAGTCGTCGGAGTCGGAGTCGTCGGAGTTCGAGATGGAGTCGTTGCAGTCGGAGTCTTCAGAGTCCTGGTCGTGGTCGTGGCCGTCATGTCGGGGTGTGATTGGGTGTGTCTGGCGTGCGTCTGGGTGTGTCTGGGGCTTATCTGCGGTGCGTCTGGGTGTGTCTGTGGTGTGTCTGAGGTGTGCCTGAGGTGTGTCCGGGGTGTGTCTGGCGTTAGGCTGGCGTGTTTCTTGCGCGTGTCTGATGTGTGTGTGTGTGTGTGTGTGAGTGTTTGTGTGTGTGTGTGTGCGTGAGTGTGTGTGTGTGTGTGTCTGGCGTGTGTCTGGCGTGTGTCTGGCGTGTGTCTGGCGTGTGTACAGCGTCTGTCTGGCGTGTGTCTGGCGCGTGCCTGGCTTGTGTCTGGCGTGTGTCTGAGGTTTGTCTGGCGTGTGTGTGTGTGTGTGTGTGTGTGTGTGTCTGGCGTGTGTATGGCGCGTGTCTTCCGCGTGTCTGGTATGTGCCTGGCGTGCGCCTGGCACGTACCTGGCGTGTGTTTGGCGTGTGTCAGGTGTGTCTGGTATGTGCCTGGTATGTGCCTGGCGTGTGTGTGTGTGTGTGTGTGTGTGAGTGAGTGGCGTGTGTCTGGTTCGTGTCTGGCGTGTGTCTGACGTATGTCTGGAGTGTGCCTGGAGTGTGTCTGGAGTGTGTCTGGTGCGTGTCTGGCGTGTGTCCGCCGTATGTCTGGCGTGTGGGGTGTTTCTCCACGGTGTGTCTGGTATGTTTCTGGCGTGTGTCCGATGTGTGTCCGACGTGTGCCTGATGTGCGTCTGGCATGTCTCTTGGTGAGTCTGGCGTGTGTCTGGTATGTGCTGGGCGTGTGTCTGGCGTGTGTGTGTGGCGTGTGTCTGGTTCGTGTCTGGCGTGTGTCTGACGTATGTCTGGAGTGTGTCTGGAGTGTGTCTGGTGCGTGTCTGGGTGGGTCTGGGGTGTGTCTCCACGGTGTGTCTGGTATGTTTCTGGCGTATGTCCGACGTGTGTCTGATGTGTGTCTGGCATGTCTCTTGGTGAGTCTGGCGTGTGTCTGGCGCGTGTCTGGCGTGCGTCTGGCGTGTGTCTGGGTGTGCTTGGCGTGTGTCTATCGTACGTATGGGGCTTGTCGGGCGTGTGTGTTGGCGTGTGTCTGGCGTGTGTGTGGCGTGTGTCTTGTGTGTGTGTTTGGCGTGTGTCTGGCGTGTGTCCGGCTTGTGTGTCTGGCGTGTGGGTCTGGCGTGTGTCTGGCGTGTGCTTGGCGTGCGCGTGGATTGCGTGCCGCGTTGTGTCTGAGGTGTGTGTGTGTCTGGGGTGTACATGTATTTGTGTGACTGTGTCTGGGGTGTCTGTTGCGCGCGGTCCTCTAAACACGTTTGCGCTGTTTGAACATTTCCCAAACCAGAGTGTGTTGATGTGTGCGTGTGGTCTTACGCACAGCAACCGGACCTCGAGACATGCAATTTCGAGGCCAGGATACGTTCCAAAGCATTCGCCAGCGTACGCAAAAACAATGTTTGAGGAGGGCTAGACACAACCAGGGTGCGTGTAGGAAAATCTTTGTTGCAGTGGACATGTGTTTGTATGGGTCTACACCGTCTCTATTGCGGTAACCACTGTGAAATTTCTTGAGGGTATTTCGCCTCCGAAGTTTCGGCTGTAGAGAGCATACGGGGTGAGGCATGCAAGTGAGGTCAAAGGATCATCGTCGTCGGAGTCGTCGGAGCCGGAGTCGTCGCCGGCGTCGGAGTCGTCAGAGTTGGAGATGTGGACGTCGCATTGACAGTCGTTGCAGTTCTCGTCGTCGTCGTCATTCTGGGGTGTGTCGGGGTATGTCTGGGTGTGTCTGGCGTGGTTATTGTGTCTGTCTGGAGTGTGTCTAGCGCGTGTCTGGCTTGTGTCTGGCGTGTGTCCGGTGTATGTCTGCTGTGTGTCTGACGTGTGTCTGGCTCGTGTCTGGCGCGTGTCTTCCGCGTGTCTGGTGTGTGCCTGGCGTCTGTCTGGCATGTATCTGGCGTGTGTCTGGCGCGTGTCTAGGTGTTTCTGGCGTGTGACTGGCGTGTGCATTGTTGTGTCTGGCGTCTGTGTGAGTGTGCCCAGGTGGTGCCCAGGGTGTGCCCAGGGTGTGTCCAAGGTGTGTCTGGCGTGTGTCTGGTTCCCGGGCCCCTGGCCTCACGGCCCCTTCTTCTGGAACGGCTCGCTTCGCCAGTGGCGCGTCTTGGAGTTGCTCCTGACGTGCGGTGTGTGTGTGTGTGTGCAGTTGTTTGGGCGTTTTTTGCTGTGATATATAATCCATCCAGAACTTGGCCACCAGAGTCGGGACATTCAAGCAACAGCCCCGGCCTCGGGCTCGGCCGATCGAGCTGCGAGCGGCGGCAGCGGAGGAGCTCAGGCCGTGCTCGTGCATCTCGGTGCCGAGTCTCGGCCGCCCCAGCCGCGGGCCGCCCCCCCCACGCCACAAGCGTGGTCCGTGGCCCTCCGACGTGCGGGTGCCGATGGCCGAGCTCTTGCGATGTGGTCAGTCGATGTGTGGCTTCTTGGTGTCCTTCTTGTCCCGTCGGGGCGTGCGGGGCCGTGCACGGGCGCCCACCGCGGGCGTTGTGGCAGCGTTCCTCCCCCATGCCATCGCTTCCCCCTTCCTCCTCCTCGCCCTCTTGTCCGCTCCAGGTTCCTCGGTCGCGTGGGCCAGGCCAGGTCCTCGTTGATATCAAGTGCCTTTCAGTCTCTGCGCACCACCTCTGGTCGCGCATTCAGGCCTAAGGCCAGTCGCCTTTGGGCCGATTAGATACGACGGGGAATTCGTACATGTGTTTTGCTTTTCTCTTCCTCTTCCTCTCTTCCTTTCTCCTCCTCATCCTCCTCCTCTCCCCTCCGTTGTACTGTACATGTTGGAATTCAAGTTGACGCGGTCATTCACGGATCTTCGGTCCATGTAGTTGTACAGTTATGCAGTTTTGCCAGCGTCCCGTTTCCCTAGTTTCGCGCAATTGCTCGCTTATGGCAGGTTGGCTTGCCGCATTTCTGCGCCAGTTGTAGAAGCATCCTTTCCGCTCCCTGTTTTTCCGCATGAAAAACAGAAGTGGCCCACCAGTGGCTATCGATCAAAGGAATGGAGGTCCTCGATTTGCCTCCCTCCCTTGGGGCGATCTTAGGCGCTTTGGGCGCCGTTTTGGGGGGCCTCTTGGGCCGCTTTTGGGCCATCTTGGTATCAACACGCGCATCAGAAGCGAAAAGGCGAGAAGGCAAAAACCATTGATTTGCACTGCATGTTTGAAGGATTTGGGCATATCTGGGGTTTCCGATGAGGGCTCCGAGAGCATTTTGAGCCATCTCGTGGCCCTCGCCGGGCCTGCTGGAAGCATGTCGGAAGCTATCATGAGCCTTCGTCGACTATCTTGAGTCTTCATGGAGGCCATCTTGGAGCATCGGAGGCCCTCTTGGAGCTAGATTGGGCGAACAAGGCCCTCTAACACATCGCGGCCCGCCCAACACAAAATCCTCAGGGAGAGGAGGGAGGGTACCCATCCCCGCAGGGAAGAGGGGTTCGGGAGAGGAAAGAAAACTCTCGCCAGACCGCCTGAGCCCAAAGGGCTGGTGGGACTCTCACGCGTTGGGGAGATGCGGTCCAAGGACTTCGCAAATGCAGAGGCTCGTAGAGGCCTCCTGCACTGGCCTCCACTTCCCGCCTCCAGCGTACCGCCCTCGAGCGTTGAAGCGGTGGACACGCTCAGCTGTCGCTATCCGGACACCCAGTCGCACAGAAGTCGTGCCACAGCCTCCACCCCTCCCCGCATCGTCCTCTTCCTCTTCCTTCCTCTTCCTCTTCTCTTCCTCTTCCTCTTCCTCTTCCTTCCTCTTCCTCTTCCTTCCTCTTCCTTACCTTCCTCTCCTTACTCTTCCGTGCTTTGCCCTCCCCCTTCCTCTGCCTTACTCCCCCCCCTAAATGGAGCGGGCTGGCAGCCGGCTTCCCTTCCGCTCCCAGCCGGCGTGGGGCCCCTCGACAGGAGACGGCACACCGCCGATGTGCTGCACGAGCCGGCCGACGGCGGCGACGGCGGCTGGAGAAGGCACTCGGCCAGCGCGACGGAGGCGCCACAGCGGTTTCGAGCGCGAGGGCCCCCCCCCCCAGAAAAGGAACTCTCGCTCGAGGAATCGATAGGTTGACCTCTCTTGTGGGCGCATGCTTGACTTCCGCCAGCGGCGCCGCCCTCGGCTTTACTTCTGCGGGCCCTCCGCCGAGGATGATCATTAGGGCTTCCGCCACGACCCATCTACTGCTCTCTCTCCCTCTCCTCCTTCTCCTCCTCCTCCTCCTCCTCCTCCTCCTCCTCCTCCTCCTCTTTCTCCTCCTCTTTCTCCTCCTCCTCCTCCTCATCCTCCTCTTTCTCCTTCTTCTCTTTCTCCTTCTTCTCGTCCTCCTCCTTCTCCTCCTCCTCCTCCTCCTCCTCCTCCTCTTTCTCCCCCTCCTCCTTCCCACCTGCTGTCCTCGCCATCTTGCGAACGCCTGCTGGCCGCTTCTCCCCCTCCTCCTTCCCACCTGCTGTCCTCGCCATCTTCCGAACGCCTTCCCTCCCTCTCTCCCTCTTCCTCTTGCTCATCCTTGTTCCTTCTCGTCTTCATCCCTCGTCTTCCTCCTTTCCCCAACCCCATCCTCTGCCTCATTCTCCCTCCGCCCTCCTCGTCGTCTTTTCTGTCCTCTTCATTTATCTCCCTCCTCCCCCTCATCATTCTAAATTCCCCAGGGCCCGTTTTCGTCCTGAGTCGTTTTTTGAAGGTCCCGAAGCCTGGCGAGGGCCCGCGGAGGCCGAAAACGGCCAACAACCGGCCGCTCCAAATTGTTTGGAGCGTCGGATCTCTGGGGGGGGGGATGAAAACAAGCCAATCTTTCGGAGAAGAGAACTTGCATAAGCATACACTTCTGGCGCTCTGCGCGGATTTCTTGGCTCCGCGCCGGGCGCCCCTGGCACGCTCCGCGCGCCAGGGAGGGGGGCCCAGCGCAGATCCCAGACGTGCGACGTCATGATCTTTTCAACGCGGGGCCCCTGGAAGTCCCGACCCGCTTCCCTGGACCGGTTGTTCCTCCCGATTCCGTTTTTTGACGGCCCCGGGGCCCGGTAAGGGCCTGGCGTGGAGAGGGGTCTGGCCTCACATCGAGCCGCAGCGCCGAGGCGTCGGCGACGTGGCGCGATCCTCCGACCCCATCTGCTCGGACCCCACCTTTGGCGTCGACTATCGTCGATTCGCGCCTGGAGTCGGGAGATGCAGCGCCGATCTGGCGTCGGTTTGCATCATTGGCGTCGCTTTAACCTCGGTCAGCTTCGATTTGGCGTCGACTGGCGTCGATTCGCCAGAGCCGGCAAGATGGTATGGCAGGCTCCCGAGAGTAGCCCCCCAGAGGTCTGGACCCCTTCCCCTGGACCGGTCTCTCATCCTGAGTCGTTTTTGACGGCCCCGAGGCCCGGTAAGGGCCACCGGAGGCCGAAAATTGGGAAACACTTTTCGTCGTGATTTTTTCGGGTTGTCCCAAAAGGGGGGCCAGCGACACGGAGGTGGTGCAATAGATTTGGTGCACTCGATTTGTGGGGTTGCAGCAAATCTGGGGCGTGCTACACATTCCGGGGCGCAGCTGTACTGCTGGAGTTTCGCGTGCAACACATTACTTGCAACACAGTGCAACACAACTCTCCGGCGCAGCACATTTGCAGTACAATCGCCCCAAATATATTGCACCCTCCCCTTTCAGCTGGATCCCCCTCTGGGCTTATGATGTTCGAACCTACTTTAGCATCGATCACCAGAAAGGATCTCGAGCACCAGGAAAGTACCGAAACTGGAGGGTTTTCAGGCCCTGGGAGGCGATACTCGTTCGACACTGTTTCGACAGTTTTCTGGGTGCTCGAAATTACTTCTGGGATGTGGTCCATAAGTACGATGGGAGCAACACAACTCTGGACCACCCAACATTTTTTTCACAGCGCGAGGAGGTCTGGGTTCGCCGCCGATGGCCACGACTCAAGGGAGGAAACACCACCCGCACCAGACAGGTGGCGTTTACTACACGGCCTTGAGCGTCGACTCAACAGCCCTGCCCTGTCCGATTCCTCTGTTGGGGCGCGCTTGCGCAGCGACCTCGCGCGTCGGGGTGGTTCTCACGGGGCGGATGTTTTGACTTCTAGCGTTAAGTCGGGCCCGTCCCTCTACAGGGAGATATGTTTAAAAATTGTCGAAAACAAATAGTCTGGGGACTATGCTTTGATTTTTTTTCCATTTTAGAATATTTTCTGGGTATTTTTAATTTTTCGTACCAAATCCCCCTGTAGGGGGACACGCCCGACTTAATTCGGGGGGCATGTTTGAGTACCTTTTGAGCCTTGGGGGGGGTATTTCTGTGGACCGTGTTGGAGCACTTGGGGGGTATTTTTTTTTGGAGTTTTTTTTCCGTTCCTCGTCCAAGATCGGCCTGTATCGGGGGAGCGTAAGACCCGGGTTTGCCGGGACTCGGGTTCGCCATCGTTTTTTGACGACCGCGACTCGGATTTTGACGAGGAGGAGTTTCGTGGGATGTCTGCAGCGGGAGGCCTCGTCAAAATGCAGGCTCGGCCTCGTCATTTTTTTGGCGACCTCGTCGGGGATTTCCGAGTCCCCCGTACCCGGGTTTTACGTCTCCCCGCCTGTAGGGGGCAGGCCCGACGGACCTCTGGCGGCGTCGCCCTCGCCCCCCCGCCAGGCGGCGGCGCCCCATCCCGGGCCAGCGGGCCGCCCCGCCGGGGCGGCCGCGGCGAGCCCCTGGGCCACCGCCGCGCCGGAGCGAGGCCGCCCCATGCGCGCCAGGGCATGGTTTTGCGATGCCTCCGCTCTCGGAGGTCGGAGGAGGAGGAGGAGGAGGAGGAGGAGGAGGAGGAGGGAGGGAGGGGGGAGGAGGAGGAGGAGGAGGAGGAGGAGGAGGGAGGGGGGAGGGAGGAGGAGGGAGGAGGGAGGAGGAACAGCCGCGGTTGGAGGAGGGGGCAGGGCCACTCAACTACCCTGGGGGTCCTTACCCCCCCCCCTTTTGCGTGAAGGCACCAGGGAGCGTGGACAGACCTCCTGCCCTGACGCGTCGATTAGCGAGATGTCGGGGGCGGCAAAGGGGGGGGGTGGATATCATGGCGTGGGCCATGATGTTTTCCCAGATTTCATGGCGCCTCTTCTTATTTAATTGCGTCCCTGGCCCCCCCGCTGGGCCGCGCACATGCCGCCGGCATCGGAGGTCGACAGACCTGGGTCCTCCGTTTTTCGGGGGTGGGCAGACCTCCTGCCCTGAAGTCGGGCCTGTCCCTCTACAGGGGGGATGTTCAAAAACAGTCAAAAAATACTCTGGGGATTATGTTTGGAGCATTTTTGTTTGACAATTTTCGAACATTTAGGGGGCATGTTTCTGCATGTTTTTTTTGTTTTTTAAAAGAAAAAATGTGGTCCAACATCGGCCTGTAGGGGGACAGACCTGGGTCCTCCCTCTTTCGGGGGTGGACAGACCTCCTGCTCTTACGTCGGGCCTGTCCCTCTACAGGGGGAATGTTCAAAAAGAGTCAAAACATAGTCCAGGAATTGTTTTTGGAGTATTTTTTGACCACTTTGGAGTTTTGCTTTAAGTGTTTTCTAATTTGTCGTCCAAAATCCCCCTGTAGGGGGACACGCCCGACTTAATCCTACCCTGACGCGTCGATTAGCGAATTGGCCGTTTTCGGTTCGCGAGAGGGCGTCGCGGCCCTCACGTTTGCGGGTCCAGGCCTGTCGGTTTCGGTCCAATCGGCCGTTTTCACGAAGGGGAGGTTTGCGAAAGGGAGGTTTGCCCACCGCCGACGCTTCGATTCGATTTCGGTGGATCCCGAGTCCGATTCGATTCGACTTGGGAGACCGATTTGGGATCCGACCCTTCAATTCACCGAGCGCGTTCCACTACTCGCAAAGTGCCTACTCGCAAACGTCCGAAACAACACATGTCTGCTTTGATGTAATTTTATCGTACATCCTCCGCGGGGGATCCAGGCCATTTGCGAGTAGGCTTAAGTCGGGCGTGTCCCTCTACAGGGGGAATGTTCAACAATAGTCGAAAACATAATACAGGGACTATTTTTTGAGTATTTGTCTGACCATTTGGGAGCCTTTGTTGTATTTTTCGTCGAAAATCCCCCTGTAGGGGGACAGGCCGGACTTGAGAGTAGGCGTGCCGATCGCCGACAAATGTTGGAAAATCTGGTGAGATATGGGAAATAAGAGACAGAAACCCAGAACAAATATGGGAAAATATGGGGAATCCTGTTCTTTCTGTGTGTGTGTTTATGTGTGTGTGTGTGTCCTTGGGCCCCTTCATTCTCGTAGATGCTCCGCGGGGGACCCAGGCCATTTGCGAGGAGGCGTGTCGATCGCCGAGCATTTGGGAGGATTGGTTGACCATTTTGGGGGCTTGTTTTGTTAGTACGTTTGACCATTTGGGGGGTCTTTTTGTTAGTATTCGTTTTGCTTTTATTTAATCGCTTCGCTCATTCCGCCGGCCCTCGAGCGCTCTGTGGGGCCTCTTTGAAGCCTCTTGGGGGCCTCTTGGGGGCCTCTTTGGGGCCTCCTAGGGGCCTCTTGGGGGTCTCTTGGGGCTCCTTGGCGGCGTCTTGGGGCCCCCTTGGGCCTCTTGGGGGGCTCGTTTTGCTAGTCTTCGTTTTGCTTTTTTATTTTAGGGGGACGCGCCCGACCTACGAGCAGGCGTGTCGATCGCCGAGCATTTCGGAGTATTGTTCGACCCTTTCGGGGGCTTGTTTTGTTAGTACGTTTGACCATTCTGGGGGGCCTTTTTGCTAGTATTCGTTTTGCTTTTCTATTTCAGGGGGACTTTTGTGTTAGTATGTTTGACAAGTTTGGGGTCCTTCTGTTAGTATTCGCATTGCTTTTACTTTAGGGGAACGCGCCCGACCTACGAGAACACGCTCTGAGCGCTGCGGCGCTACACGCCCATCCCCGTAGTTGGCACAGCTCTCGCTGTAGTGGCGTTCGTTCGTTCGTTCGTTACGCCCGACCTGCGAGCAGACGTGCCGATCGCCGAGCCCAGGCCGCGCGGGAGCGAGAGGCCGCCCCTGCCCCGGGCCCCCCTCTTGCGCGGGTGCAGCGGTACGCGCGGGGGGGATTTGCCGAGCAGGGGCGGGGCGCCCCGGCGGTCCCTGTGGGCTTATAAAACGACACGAAGATCGGGACAAAATCGGATCGGGATAGCTCGAAGTCTCTGAGAATCGGCGGGTTTGGAGGATGTATTGGGCGCTGCGGCCGCTCCAGAGCGTTCCGGAACGCTCTGAGAGCGCTCCGGAACGCTGGAGCGATTTATCCCGATCCTAGCCCTGTTTTAGCGGCTTAGGTCGGGCCTGTCCCCAAGGGCGCCTTCGAGGGCGCGGAGCTCTTCGCGCTTCGCGGTTCGGCTCCGATTCCTCCTCTTCCTCTTCTTCTCCCCGGGGAGGCGTCGCGAGAGCGCGAAGTTCTTCGCGCTTCGCGCAGCGCGAAGCGCGAAGCTGGGAGCCCTTGGTCCCTCTACAGGAGGAAACACTCAAAAATAGTCAAAACATCGTGTCGGGGGACGATGTTCTTAGCATGCTTTTGCTTGTTGTTGAATATTGTTGGGGTACTTGTTATTTTTCGTTCAAAATTCGCCTGTAGGCGGCCATGCCCGACCTAGTTGTAGGCCCACTAAGGAATGTTCTAAGAACCTTTTGTGGTCTGCACGAAATGTTCTCAGAACCTTGCTGGCTGATCAGACTGTCCTGTTGTAGCACAGCGGGCTTGAGTTCTACGATCATCGTGCTTGTTCTCAGAACATGTTTAGATTCTAAGAACATGTCGTGTAAGCCTGCAAGAATATTTCGCGGTCGGTCCCTGCTCAAGGATAGGCATAGGGGGGGATGCATCGACCTCTAATCGCCCATTGGTTCGACGATAGGGGCCCGATAGCCCCACCCCGCCCAGGAAGGTGCGAATTCACTATCGGGTGCATATCGCCGATCTATCGGCGATGTATTGCTGATTCCAGGTCGATGTCTCCCCCTATCGTTGCCCCTCACGGATAGGGCGCGTACTGTCGGACCGAGGTCTATATCGGCGGCGAGCGATGGGGGGAAGTGGGTAAAGGAGACGTTTTGTCGGTTCTCGGCGGTTTTCCAGCCTCGGGATGCGTTCCAGCGGCTGCGCCTCGTCGATAGAGCGTTTCGGGGGTGCCTGGATCGTCCCGAACTGTCGCCGGAGACCCGAGATATGACCCAAAAACTTTAATCGGCGGGGAGCGAGGGAGGGAAGTGAGACGGTGACGGCCTTCTCAAAAAACAGCGGGACTTCCAGGAAGCCCTCGCGCCTTCTGAGAGGTGTTATGTGTCTTCGGGGAACCCAGACATCCGACGTCTCGTTTTTTCGAGACACGGGTCCTCGACCTCCCGACCGCTTCCCCAGGACCGGCACCCTTCGCACGTTTTGTGGCCCACCGCCCCAGTGCCACCGCCAATATGCGTCACCCACGCCCATTTCGGCACACCCCTCACAAGTTTCGTGGCTCCACCGAAGGCGCCAGTGGCTGCGTGTGCATAAGCCCACCGCACTCATTTCGTCACACCCCTCACGCGCTTCGTGGCCCTATTGGAGCTCCACCGACGGCCCAGTGGCTGCTTTCGCATGCGCCCACCGGACAAATTTTGGCACAGCCCTCATACGTTTCGTGGCCCTATAGGGAGCTCCTCCGGATGCGGTGCATACAGCGACGGTGCTCACAATTGCATATGGTTGTGTCTTTCGCAAGGCTAATTCTGAGTGTGTTGAGAATATTGTTTTGACAATGTTTTATCTTTCTTCCGAAATCCGCCTGTACGAGAATATGGCCGACCGAAGGCTCAAGTTCCTCCCAGTCTCAACGCTACTCTGTGCCCAGCGCGCCCAGGGCGCCCGTGACGATGGGCTGCTGCCAGCCGGCCGGCGGCTGCCAGAGTTGCCCGTTTTCGGAGGACGAGGAGCCAGTGTCGACGGTGCAGAGCGGTCTTACAGACGATAACCCTACGAGGGAAATCTTGGAGAGGCCTTGCGCGGCGCGCAGTACTTGCATCATCTACAGTTAACCGGCACAGTAAGGATGGGCGACCTTCCCAAGGGTGCCCTTGCATCCTTGCCTCCTCGGTCTATCCTTGGCTACTTTCGCTGGCCGCGCCCCACTCGACAAGCTTCGCAATGAGCCTCCAAGGCCATTTGCATCCTTCTCGCGCATCCTCATGATGCTTGCCGTCTGTAGTTGTATCCTCTAGTCCAGACGTCCGCTTCGTGAGATATGGGTATAGACGCTCGCGCGGCGATGCTGCGACGTGAGTCCGACGTGAATCCGACGTGATTCCGACGTGAACCCCACGTAATCCGACGTGAGCCCGACGTAGATCCGACTCACGGTAGGTTCATGCGGCGATGGTGCGCCGGCGACGTCGGCGAAGGCACTAAAGCTTGAATTCCGCAGGATAGAACGACGGGGAACAGCCGAGGGATACGATAGCGCCACACGACCCGACGGAATTCAATCTTGCACGATCGGGGTTGCGATTGGCTCACGGTTGGATCGACGCGGCGTGCAAAACTTTTGCGCGCGCCGACGCTGCACGAACCGACCGTAAATTCCCGGAGAGGTCTCTGAGAGGTAAGAGGGTTGCAGATGAGAGGCGGGAACCGCAGGGTGGCCCCGAGGCTCGTTTCGGCTTGCGGCAGGAATCCTCGCTGCGACTCCTGCGAACTTGCAGCGTGCTCTGGCAGGCCTTGCCTGACTGCTTGCCAGTATACGAGTGCCCTGAAGCTCTCCAGAAGCTCTCTCCCAGAGGTTCCAGAGCTTTCTCGCAGGACCTTCTCCAGAGGCTCCTGCCGTCTTGCCACCCGGGTTGGGGCCCACAGGTTCGGTTCCGAGCCGGCACGATCGAAATCAGTACGGAAACTACAGCGAGCGGCTTGAATGAGGACCATTTGCTTTTCAAAAGAGGCTCGTTCCTTCCTTAGGTTTGCATGCGTTGTTCGTCGTTCCTTGTGCGTCATGTCTTATTTATCGCTCCCTATGCGGTGCGGTGCTCCTGGGAAAAAAGGGGCTTCGTTCCGAACTCATCGTTCCTTAGGTCAGGCCGATGACTGTATGGGCACAGTGTCCAACAGCAGGTGCCCTGAAGCTCTCCAGAAGCTCTTTCCCAGAGGTTCCAGAGCTTCCTCGAAGCACTTTCCAGCAGTCTTGCTACCCGGGCTTTCAACACCACGAGTTCGGCCTCGAGCCGGCACGATCAAAAATGGCACGGAAACCATCACCGCCCACCAAACCATCCCGACCCAACCCGAAGGCCCCGATCTGCCCTCCATCTCCCAGTGGTGGGGGTGGGGGTCGGGGAACAAGGAGAAAACACATATGAAGCCCGTACCCCCCCCCCCCCAACCCGAAATGCGGGTCAGATTCGGGCCTTCAAGTTGGGTTGGGGTGGTCTGGCAGGCAGACGGCCATGGACACAAGGTCCAATAGCAGCTGTTCCTGAGCAACTCTTCTTCTCCTCCTCCTCCTCCTCCTCCTCCTCCTCCTCCTCGTCCTCGTCCTCCTCCTCCTCGTCCTCCTCCTCCTTCTTTTCCTCCTTCTCCTCCTCCTCCTCCTCCTCCTCGCGACAGGAGAGGCTGCCTGCCCAGGCGGCGGCCGTGTTGGGTTGGGGTGGTCTGGCAGGCAGTCGGCCACGGACGCGAGGTCCAACAGCAGCTCTTGCTCTTCCTGAGCAGGGCTTCGTTGCTGGCGAGGCGCCGTGGCCGCCCGTCCAGCTCTCCTCCTCCTCCTCCTCCTCCTCCTCCTCCTCGTCCTCCTCCTCGTCCTCCTCCTCCTTCTTCTTCTCCTTCTCCTCCTCCTCCTCCTTCTCCTCCTCCTCCTCCTCCTCCTCGTCCTCCTCCTCCTTCTTCTCCTTCTCCTCCGCCTCCTCCTCCTCCTCCTTCTTCTACTCCTTCTTTTCCTCCTCCTCCTCCTCCTCCTCCTCCTCCTCCTCCCCCTCCTCGCGACAGGAGAGGCCGCCTGCCCAGGCAGCGGCCGTGTTGCGGGCCCTGGACAGCGTTCTATTGTTCAAACGGTGGCGAGGCGTCCTGGCTCGCTTATCTGACAATGTTATGAGAAATTGTGTCAGGACGTTTGTGGCCGAGACCGTATTGTTTCAACACGTCGGGCTTTCTGCTCTGAGCATATTGTTTGTGTGATTCGTACATTTTTTGGTTCGAAGAACATGTCGTGGTAGGCCTGTAGGAATGCCGGGACGGTCGGTCCCTGCTCAAAGTGTTGGGCATTGTAGCAATGTTTTCTGTACCCATTTTTGAGTCGAGCCTGTCCCTCTACTAGTCCAGGGACCATTTTCCTACCATCCTTGACTACTTTTGAATGTGTTTGTTCTTCTTGCAAAATCCTCTTGTAGGGGGACAGGCCCGGCCTAAACGCATTTCTCGGCGCGGGGGGGAAGTCAGAAGGAGAAGACCTTCTCAGAAGGTTCCGAAGTACCCCAGCCTTCTGAGGCGTTTGCGGATCCTCCCCCGAGGACAGAACAAGCCTCTCAGTATGAGCGAGGGTTTCTGAGAAGTCCCGCCGCCTTCCGAGAAGGCCTTGTCCTTCTCTTTTCCCCCCATAGCTCGCCGCCAAATTTCACAGCGCCAACCTCGCAGAGCGGATTTCGTTCGGAAAACAATAGGGCGGGTCGGGAGTGTCCCAGAGAATTTCGTTCCGGATTTCCGAGGTGAGGTTCGTATATATCGGAGGTTGGGGGGTGAGATCGAAGTGGAACGGAGAGCCCCCCTACCGGGAAATCGATTTCGGCTTCGTGTTCGTGCGTGCCGTGCGGGCGAGGCGAAGCTGCGTGCGCGGGCGAGAGAAAGTCTCCTGTGGCTGAGGCGCGGCCGGACCAAATGATTCCC